AAAACTGGAGGAATAGGTACAAATGTATACATACTTGAACTTGTTTCCTCAAAATCCAAAGAGACTTGCGTAAATCCATCCTTTTGCCTTGACTTGAGTGTGAGCCATAACTCTGTTCCTTTTACGATTATATCCGCTGGCAATTTGGTCCCAGTGATCAGCCTGGTAGCTGTGTTTCTTGCCATACCCACTGCAAGTTCCAAATACTCTGATCCTAGTTCCAGTTCCAACTTTCTAAAATGGAGTTTAATATTTGGTCCAACGGGGGTTCGAACTCGCCATTTACATGTCAACACCTCCGATGAATTAGCTCTGGGCAGATTGTCCGGAAAGATTATCTCCCCTGACGTCCTTGAAACATCATAAACACAGTCGTCAGTGAACTTGGGTGAGGGTGTGGAAACATCAGCTGAGATACCTTTTGATGAGCCTGTAGTGGGGTCAGCGTGGTGGGTTTCTTCACCCGTTGTCAGGCTAATTGTACTGGTGTCTATATTTGGTGTTAAAGTCTCATATTGGGTACTAGATTCAGATGGCACATGACTTGGATGAGAACTAAACTGCGGTAGTTCAGAATAGGCTGTTTGGGGTTCTGAATTGGTCGTTTCTCGCCTTTCGTCTTCATTCGTTTTGTACAAGGCATATTGATCAGTAACAGATGATTTACTTTCATCGCTATAATAATCGTAGTGATAGTGCTCAGTTGTACTAGAATCTACATAACCGTCCACACTAGAGTCAGTGTTCTGTGAACTATGGTCACTGGAATCATATACGTCGTTTGTTTTTTGAAAGAAAGTCCATTCAATCAAAGGTGAGTCCGTGAATCTCCTTTCCAGGTGCTGTCCGGTTGACCAAGTGTGGCTTAACTGGTCCATCGAGGAGGCAGGTTGCCTTTCTTCAGCTGAAAGGATCATCATCATCATCATCATCATCATCATCATCATCATGCATGTTTTGTGATGGCACTGCGCATCTGTTACATCTTGCAAATATATGTAAGAACATAGATCGAGTCTAATATTCCTGTACGTAAGTCCCAAAACATTCAAAGTAAATCTAAGCCTACTACCATTTTAATCGTAGAATATATGTTCGTTTAATTTGTGGCTAGATTATCTAACATTGCTAATAGCTGAAGGGATGGTGTAAATCCAGCTAGGGTCCATGCAGGAAGCAAATGTACTGTAAGTCCCCATGGTCCCTAGTATGGTGATCTACCTTCAGTTGTTGGCAGCATACAGCCTGTTTTTACCTTGTATTGTCATCTATAGTTAAACTGTTTTAGATTTAATTACTAGTTTTAAATTCGAATCTGTGATAATCTAGTTATTTTACTGTCCTTCGTTGACAGGTTTTTACAGTTTACCATTAATTACTATGTATAAAATTAATTGTTCTCGTCACATGGCTGAAATATTGCCGATGTGACGATAAATTTGAACTCACTCACTCACTCTAATATTCCTAATACGTCACAGACATGTCTTACCAACCTCTGTGTATTAGTTTATAACCTTTTTTGAAAAGGTTCCTCTCACCAACATTTGTTTGAAACCATTAATCCGTAGCTAAATGCAAGGAAGTTTGGTATGTAATAATCGAAAAAAGTCACATTATGTCAAACGCTGTGCATTTAAAATTATTGTCATTAAACGTTGTGGTTGTAGAATAGCTACTCGGATCAGCGAAATAAAACCAGGTTTAACTTCTTGTGTATCGATATCCTGATATCGTTCAATAATTGTCAAATAGCTAATTCACAGCAACAAACAAAAATATCACAGAAGCCGCGGTGGCTGAGTGGATTAGGTGGCTGATTTTGTGTGCTGGCGATTAGGTACCTGACTCTGAGGGTGTGGGTTCGAATCCCGGATGGGACTCAACCCAACAAAAGTACTAGAATCTGTACTTTACTCAGAAGGTATAATCCCAAATATAACATTTGTTACAATTGACCACTTCCTAAATAGCATTGTGTATTCAAACAAAAATATCCGCGAGACTGGATGGCTTCAATTTTCCTTTTCGTCTTTGGTGTCTACGTTTCGCAAATATTGAGGTACAATCAGGCGTGCGGCTTCAGCGACAAATGCAAATAGGATCATACGACCGACTGTTCCGCAAAGGTTGTTTGTTCACCGGTACAACATTCAATGTCTCAACAAAACAAAGCCTTATGATGGACATGTCCAAATTTGACGCATCAGTTACAAAACGATGTCTGATGGAATTCATCACTTCGACGTCTGCTGTGTTTCCCATTTCCTTTTCAGGTAAGCAAGCACCATGCCCTTACGTAAAGGTGCCACATCAAGATACGCTCACCTTTTCGCGAACACCTGGTGTAAACACTTTTTGACAGTGATTGATAAAAACATGCTTGTAATATAGTCACACAAAGGAGTCTGCCTTTATTTAATATCGACATGTTTGAAATGTGTTAAAATATGAAAGAGGTTTTGAATTATAATTTTCAAAGTATAATGTAAACTTCAAATGGTAGAAATCCCGTAGTAAAACAAAAAACATAAATCTTCAACATTTTATATGAAGAAACTGAAAAAGTTTAAAAAATTAATGGTAATAGCTTCTTTATACAAAATACAAATTGATTTTACAGAGAGTTCAAGCAAGTCATAATCCATAGATCATACATCAACCGTATATTGACTGGACACGTGTCTCAAATAGGTTGCCGTTATTCAAACTTGATATAGCTTTGATGTAAAAACAAAGAAGAAACCGTTATGTCATTTTTTTAAATTTTGAAAGCACATGACATGTTTTAGTGCACGACACAACGGACGTGTTTGCAGTTGGCCATGAGTGACGGTGGTGCACACACTTATCGACCCACCGGCTAATCTCTTGACATTACAACAATGAGTACCTCCATTCTCACCATCATCCACAGGGATTTTACATATTTCCTCTTTTCCTTCAACAAACACGTATCCTTTTCAGCAGCGTAATTTGTTGAGAAATAGCGTTTGATCGTTAATCCTCGCATTTGGTAAATAAACACATCTGTGAGAATTCGCAAAGTCTCCTTTGAATGTAGCGTCGAGTCGCCGGATGGAAATTACCAACAGGTGAGTAGAATTACAGTGCAGGCCTTCATCCAGCACATTTGTGCCATGAACGGCTGAAGCGACCCATAAATACTCACCTGAATTTGGATTGTCGTCAACATTGTTTGCTTGGCATTTACTCATTAAAACAGAATGTGAGCCAAACGTTGATAGTACATGTTAGTTGGTATACTATTATGGTTTGATTATGATTATGATTTTTTTATTATGATTATTTGATTATGATTATTTGATTATGATTGATATGACTGTGGTGTAAAGATCATATGTATGAAAGACTATATCAGCCGATGTATATCGGTATCGTATGTTAGTGTGTCACATATCGGGCATTACAATTGTGGTATGAGCGTTCTGGTCTTTTGGGGGCGGTGGGGTAGCCTAGTGGTTAAAGCGTTCGCTAGTCACGCCAAAGACTCGAGTTCGATTCCCCACATGAGTGAAGCCCATTTCTGCTGTCCCCCGCCGTGATATTGCTGGAATAGTGCTACAGGCGGTGTAATACTAAACTCACTCACTCACTCTTTGGCCTTGTCTGCACTGATGTTTGATAATGTGAAGGGTAACTAGGTAACAACATGCATCCAGTTAATATAACCGTTTCCTTTGTAACGTGTGTTATAGCACATTTCCACCTATGGTAGGGGTTCGGCAGGGGTGTTGTTTCCAAGTATCTCTTTTACCATGTAAGATTAAATAAATGTTAGCATGCGATTAAAGGGAACTAAGCGATACAAATATGGCAGTTCTAAACAACTGATTCAGCACATTTGAAATCGACTGATGTCCTTTCAACAAAAAGGTTATCAGTAATATCAATGATGTAATCAGTGAGCTGATGATGACGCGAATCACACAGAAATATTACAGCGCTTTTTAAACAATGGCCAAATGTAGACCAGAAACGGCAACCAGATTATTGGTCATAGTCTTACTTTAGATGATCAGGATGTTCACATAGGGTGGTGTTCCTCGTTGGGGGAGGAAGGGGATGGTCAGGCTTGGTTTTGTGGGGACGTGGAACATACAAAACTTCCGTTCACACGGACATGACCTAGCTCATAATCTATCCAGAGAATACTCAACAATACGAATTCATGGTATGATAATTTGGACCTTTGTTAAAGTAGTTTTACATCATGGTTATTTAGGTATTGCAAGTAGAGACTGAAAGCCTACAAAAACATGGACTGCAATATAGGAATAACTGCCCAAGACTAAATCTGCACATATTAATTGATAAACATTCTCAATACAAGGGCGGGATAATGTGTATGATATACCTGTTTTAGTATATGAAAAGAATTCCGGAAAATGATCACGTTACCTAGTGACATTCATATTTGTGTGTGTGTGTGTGTGTGTGTGTGTGTGCGTGCGTGCGCGCGCGCGCGTGTTCTTGTCCTAACTAATATCTGTTGCGATTCCATACCGTTGTTTATCGAACTCAGGCACAGTATAATGACTCCAAGGTGACCAGTGTTTGTTTATTATCCCCCGAATGCAAAACACCAGGTATATTTAAAACGAAAACACATTTGTGTTACGTATTTAGGTATTGACGTGGCCGATGATCGCAGTGCTGACCTTCCACTCTCCGGACAGACGCCAAAAGAGGCGGTATTTGAGGAAGAAGATGAGTTACATTACTACCATGCCCTTATTGACAATAAACTGTCTCCATAGGCTACATAACCGTCGTTATATCATGAAGAATGAGGACTATTTTTATGGATATACAACTTCTTTATTATATCATGAATTTAAATTATGTGACTGTTATATAGTTCTTCCCGTATAATTGATATATATTGATATATATTTATATATATAATTTCCACGTTTTAGATCGTTCTTCTCGAAATTGTAGATGAGTGAGTGAGTGAGTTTAGTTTACGCCACACTCAGCAATATTCCAGCTATATGGCGGCGGTCTGTAAATAATCGAGTCTGGACCAGAGAATCCAGTGATCAACAGCATGAGCATCGATCTGCGAAACTGGGAACCGATAACATGTATCAACCAAGTCAGTGAGCCTGACCACCCGATCCCGTTAGTCGCCTCTCACGACAAGTATGGGTTACTGAAGGTTCATTCTAACCCGGACCTTCACGGGTGAAACTGTAGATGGTGTCGTGCACTTCAGTATTACGGCTTCTCACTGTGGTCTGTCGTACAATACATTCCAATGTACAATACATTGATCTGTGTTAACCTAATATATATCTAGAGAGAGAGAGAGAGAATGAGAGAGGGGTGGAGTGGGGGTGGAGCGCATGAAGTCATAATTTGATAAAAGTACATCCACAAATTTTTGTGGCCGATGAGTTGAATAATTTACAGCAGCGAATCAATTAAATCACCTTCTCCACACATATAAACTACCTGACATAGGCCAAAGCGTTACGTTATCTCGTTCTTCTACCGCCTATTTCACATTCAGAAGCATCACAGTCGACATTTCAAGTATAAGCCACAAACTTAAGTCGACGTCTGATCGCGGGTAAATGAGAAAACAAAAGAAGATTACTTTTCAGACTTAACATTTCAATAGGAATATACCGTTGTTGCGTAAAAGTAAGCGTTGCGTCGTTTGACCTTCTTGTGATATTTGCTATGGGCGTTCGACTGCATGTTACAATAATAGAGGAAAAACGACTTCTTTCCCTTGTTAAAGACAAAAGTTTCTCGCGTATATCTTTCTGCTTTTGTTCTTTGACGATTAAAGTAACTGACATCATGCTTATACTGACTATATATAAACTACAAATAATATAATATAACATTAAGCTTATACTGACTATATATATAAACTATAAATAATATAATGTAATGCAATGTAATGTAATGTAATGTAATGTAATGTAATGTAATGTAATGTAATGTAATGAGAGGGCGAGTTAAGCCACTCTTGGCAATATTCCAGCAATTTCACCAGAAATGGGCTTCACACTTTGAACCTTTGTGGGGAATCGAACCCTCTTCTTTGGCGTGACGAGTGCATGTTGTGAAATACGACCTTAAAGTCGAGGAGATGCTCTCATGAATGACATTATGTATTCAATTTGAAGGATGCGTTATTTAATTTCAGAATAGCGAACAAGCGAACGCTTTTATCACAAGGCTACCCCACCGCCCCTTAATAGGAATGCAAAGAGGCTTGATATGAATTGGAGTGAGTGAGTGGGTTTAGTTTTACGCCGCACTCAGCAATATTCCAGCTATATGGCGGTGGTCTGTAAATAATCGTGTCTGAACCAGACAATGCAGTGATCAACAGCATGGGCATCGATCTACGCAATTGGGATACGATGACATGTGTCAACTGAGCCTGATCACCCGATCCCGTTATTGAAAACCAGTGTATGACTGTAAGGGATCTCCATGCATCCTTGGGTCTACGTGATTTAAACGTGACTGCCTCCTGGATCGATACATTTTACTCAGCTTTGTGAGGCTATGACGAAATGTAATTCAACATTCACAGGGGCAAGCACGCATAAGCTCTCATGTCCAAATATGTATATTTTAGAATGTTGATGTTTTAAATTAAAGCAAAACCGTTGTGCTGTAAGAAAAAGAAATGTTGACTTGCAGTTACAAAAGCAGAAATATCCAGCAAACTTTTGTACAAAACACGTATGAATACACCAGTTTTGAAGTATGGAGGATGTTCGAACTTATCCTTGAACATGAGAAGTGAGACTTTTTCAATACAATGGTAATGCGCAATATATACATCATAGAAAGTTACGCAACGAAATGCAAACAAATTTATGCTACAAAAAAAACCTTACCTGTAGTAAAACTATCAGCTGATATATATCCAGGTATTGAGAAACCTATTACAGCAATTATTGCCGCAATTGCCATCTTGGTGTAATGCCGAACTCTTGGGTAAATGGCTCCAACTACTCGTCCTCGTTTAATATTTCTCGGTCTTTGGCGTTCGGTCTATAGTCAACTTGGCATGGAGGTCTCCACAGTAGGGTCCTGGCTGTCAAACTGTCAAATGGTCCCTCCTAAGAGTCCAAACACTTCATATTTGTCCGAATGTCGATTTGAGATTAGCAGCGGATATCCGCCATTTCGTTGGCTAGGGAGGATTTCTCAAACGATTGACAAAGATTATCCGCCTTTTTCAGACATTTGGCGATCAGAGGGTCTCTGTACTTTCCCGAAAGAGCGCGAGACGAAGGGGATCAATGTATTTAGGCATGTTTGGGATTGCAGGGAGTTCTTCTGTCACTCACTTAATCCTGACAAACTGGCATCCTCGCCTTACACTCGCAATTATTTGGTGAACAGTTTGAGTTTTTCAAGCAGGAACTCCCGGTATTCTTTGGAGCTTAAATTAGGTTTGCTGTGCGTGGAAATAAACCTTTTCTTTCAGACATAGATTCTGATTTGTTAATTCTGAACACCAATAGACCGCACATTTTCCTCTTATGAATGCCATACTCTCTGTATCCTGGCAATTATATATAAGAATTCCATGTGGATCAGCGGGGTCCGTACGAACAAATGAAAGCCTATGTGAAAAATAGAGCATATAAAAAGAAACACTGAGAACATCTTTAGGTACACCTTGACTAAAAAATAACAACAAATGAACCCATTGTTTCGGGTACGGGCTGGTCGATGTGGTCCTTAAGGTTGGTATTGTGAAATTAGCTTTGGGGATTCCAGATGAAAAATGTGGAACTTAACGTTGGCATGACAGTCGACAAATTAGACTACAAGTATGGTACATACGCCCATTTAAATAAAAGTCGGAACGGTTTTTCTCGCTTTCAAATTTGTATAGAGAGTTGTGTGGTATCCCTCAAACACGGACTAGGGAAAACAGCGTTAATTATTTCTTGGAATGTTTACGTGATCTTGGCCACGTTGGATTTTTTCTTTGAAAGGCACTCTCACATGCTTGAAATACATCTACTAACGTATTTCAGTACGAGTTTCTATTGGCGTTCATTGACACAGGAGACTAAGAAACTTGAACGACAAAATCTGACTGTTATTTAAGAGACTGATGCACAATGAATGTTTATGCACATTTTTATATGAAGTTTTTAAATCAGATATTCTTTCCAGATCGTAAGGTACATGTGAGACTTAAATAAACCAAACGTCCTTTGCACATTCCTGAGAAACACGTGAGCTCACATTTAATTTCGTTTTATTGTTTGGCGGTATTTTTATGTTCTATTCTGAGCTAAGTTGCCGACTATTGTAACATGTTTTGTCTCATCTTATCTGAGTTTCCATCATGAATGAAAAATATACTTCACCTTTATTGTAAAGCCAAGTAGCACTAAATACATTCTGGGTTGAAGAAATTGTTTTCTTTTCACGAACAACTGGTGTCATCACTGCCAGTGATTCCAATTGTTTTACTTTTTACTTTTTACTCCCAGTACAATCTGTTTCGTGGGATAATCGGGACTTGTTCTCTTGTTTGTTTGTTGTTTGTTGTGTAACGCTGCAATATTCCAGCTATATGGCGGCGACCTGTAAATAATCGAGTCTGGACCAGACAATCCAGTGATCAGCATCATCAGCATCGATCTACGTAATCTTGATACGATGACCACGTGTCAACCAAGTCAGCGAACTTGACAACACGATCCTGTTACTCGCCTTTTTCGACAAGCATGGTTTGCTGAAGACCAGTTCTTACTCAGAGGCTTGTTCCCTGGCATTAAGACTGAATGAATATATTATTGAGGAATTAATAATTATATTTCATTAATAGACGTGTTTGTCTTCACCTGGATTATTTTATGCTTATGTTTTTGTCTTAAACCTTAAACGGGAGAAATGTATACATGTATATCCAGACACGTCAAAGTGTAATCCACATATTGCACTTTCTGTTGAGGCAGAACATGCTTGTCGATCTTTGCTTTTTAACTGATCAAATAACATGATTACATGACACGTTTGTATGGATAACAACTTCTTTTAATTCTTTACACGGCGTTTAACGACGTTTCAGAGCTAATTCTTGTTCCTTCATCGGGCGAATACTGAGCAAGAATTAGCTCCGAAACGTTGTATAGGGATTTTTTAAAAATTGTTATCCATAACAACGTGTCATATATTCATGTTCGTCCAACTTCTAAATGCCTTTCAAGAACTTCATTTCCCGTCCAGTTTAAAATTATCTTTAACAGCTGTATATACAAAACATCTCATTCAAGAAAAAGCGTCGTACCCATATGTTTGTGTAGGTGTAATTCCAGTTTAATTCTTTATCAATGATGAAGTCAGTGATGGTGAGTCAGTGGCAAAGGTTCACCAAACAGAGCACTGTTGATTATGTGGTCTAATTTCCATCGGAACTTGTGCTAAATAGAAACAGCTGATTTAAACATTAGCCCGTTTCCGGAATTGTTGTATTAGTTGTTTGGGGCAATCGTACTTGGGCCAGTACTATCTCTCATCGAACTGAGCCTACTTCCCTACGGATGTTATCACATCTTACAAATGTAGTCTCACAAACAGATTTAAGTAAACGTATTTTTCAAGTCTTCCGTCGTCTATAAACGCCTTCGTTTTTGTACACTGTGGCTTTGTGGACAAACCATTAGATATACATTACGTAAGCATCGCGTGAGACTCGAATCCTTGGTGCCGAATCCTTAGCCTTGCACTGTGTTTGAATGTTACTTGTGTGAGATCGCCAGTGTTGTTACGCTTGTGATTATTTTGGACTGGTATCTGTTCAAGGAAGCATGGAAGTGTAAAAAAGTCCTCCCTCTGAGCATACAACCACTATTCCCCACCCAGTTTGGGGGATAAAGTGCGCCTTTTGTCCCGCCGTAGTCGCTTGAAGGACCCCGTGCTCTTGGCTGATGCTTAGAGAAGGCTTCTGTATGCGTTGCCCTTAAAGCATTTACTTTGTTGTTTTAAACTCCTTGCTTTCTTTTTTCTAATCTCCGTCTGGGACATGAGACTATTTTTACTGTTCTCGACTAAATATATTTTTTTAGGTATTTTCAAGTCACCCTTTTTGTGTAGGTCCTGCTAAAATTATTTTAAACTACACAGGTATAATATATATTTAAGTGTACAATCATCTTATTGTTGCAGTTATTGTGATAGCTAAGCTCAGTTTGTGCGTGTTTTGAAACACATTTACACTTTAGAATTAAAATATATGTGATATAAACGATATTTACAAATATATGAATATTTAAAGAAATTAATATTATCGCATGTTCCGTAAAATACCTTGGTACAAGTGAAAGTCTTTGGAGTTTCAATATTTTCTGTTTTCAAGCTAATACCCGTTTGATCATATTAAGGATATCGTTGTAACTTGTTCAGTGACTTAAGCTTGCAGTAAATATCTTGAATGATTGTGGAGAGGGTTTTGTAAAGGGTTATTTAAAAATATAACTACCATGAAAAATATGCCTTTTTGCAAACAAACTCATCAATTCCACCCGTTACTATCATTTATTTTGGATTTTTAATAACATATTCATTGAATGATTTACTCTACTAATAATAGTATAAAATTCTACTATGTTCAGACGAGTTGATGCTTTTTCGATCAACTTACAACTCGTCATTGTTTACCCAGAGCAATGAAACCTATTCTAAAACCTCTTCAAAGAACACGTGGCCGCCTCATACATTTCTTTTTCTTCTGATCTCTAAATGAATTTGAAAACTAATATTATTAGAATAACTGCTATATTCTGAATGAAATCTTTAGACATTCCTTTTCTTCTGATCTCCAAATACAATTGAAATTAAATATCAGAATAGTTATAACTCGAATTATGTGTGATACGTTGACAAATTTATTTGAACTTTAAACGCAGCTCTTACCGCTCCTGGGCTGAGTTCTTGTGATCTATAGAAAACTTGTGTGCAGACATTACGTTTGTTCAGTCAACAAACTCAAATTCAATGTTTAAAACATCTTGTCCCAGTTTTCATTTATCCCAGAACCGTTTCACAACATATACAACATCATACATTGATGTTATACTTAAAAGGTATTCGAAATATTTGAAAATATTTACAATATTAGTTCATCAATTTAAAAAAAATGGGGAGGGGGGTATTTCAAACACAAGCTTTCATTTTAAATGCACGTGATACTAAAGTGAAGCGTCAAACCAGAGATGTCAGGATCCGATTAAACATCCTCAGAAATTCAGGGTATATATTTTCACCGGATTTCCTGACAAAGATATTCTGACTGATACCGGTTCAGCTCCCACAACTAAAGGAATGACATACCAGGATGACACGCTAACAAAATCTGTGTGTCTGAATAAGTATTCTGGGTTCCAAATTGTTCCTGAAGAAGCTTGTGCAACTGTATCCATTGTCATCATTTCAGGGCAGCCCCTCCGCGACGCACAACACACAAAAAGAGATACCGTTTAAACCTTGTACATGTATGTCAAATTCTCAGCAGTTCAAATGCCATGTATACTCACTGTAAGTCAAAAGGCATGTTGTCTTTTTATGAAAAAAACCCATGGCACGCGGTACGAAGAGAATGCGAACGAGGACAATAGAGCGCAATCTGAAACTGCGTTCTTTGTATGCCTTTAACGAACGATTTAAGTCGATCGGTAAATAAACATAGCGTCTCTGCTTGTGTTTGCATTAATGATTCCTCCTTCTCGAGTATTTGCAGCGAAACAACAGAATTATTTGCAAATTGGAGGTGTTAAAATGAAATCTCTTAATAAACAATGGTAAAGTAAATACAAAACAAACTCAGTCGATTGTTGTCAACTTGTCAATGCATTGAGTACTGTAAAAAGTTCAGCAAAAGCAAGAACGTTGTCTAAGAGCGACCTATATAACATTTGTATGTGGCCGTCTGGTCTGGGATGTTATTAAGGCTGTATGAGCTTAAATGGTCTGACGCGTCTTTGACAGTGGTTTCGCTATTTTGTTGTACATACATACATACATACATACATACATACATACATACATACATACATACATACATACATACATACATACATACATACATACATACATACATACATACATACATACATACATACATACATACATACATACATACATACATACATACATACATACATACATACATACATACATACATACATACATACATACATACATACATACATACATACATACATACATACATTTGTATAGCGCCGATATCCAGCTCAGCTCAGCTGCTGTACGATTCCGAGTATATCAGTAGCATGCGTTTTACGAATGTCTCTCGCAGAAAGGTGAGCGCCAGTCACAAACACAAGCAAAGACAAGTCAGTTGAAGAAGAAGAATTAATTTCGGTATATAGGCCATTGGCCCGTGTACAATAAATGCAAAGTGGTATATGATATATAGACAATATGGTTTAAACATATACATAGGTATATATATATATACATGTCTCTTCTAACATTGGATAGAATTCCTTTTAGATAGTGCATGTTTAATAAATAATGAAATTTTTATAAGTAAATTCTTATCTATGCATGTTAACAACTTATGATATTTGCTTAAAACAGATGGACAATTAAATTCTGGTAGGTATTTGCTTCTTAAATTTGCATATGCATCACAGACAAGTACAAAATGTAATTCATCTTCAAAATTATAGCGGTTACACATTTTACATATTTTGCTTAACCCACTGTCATCTTGACATCTTACGTTACACAGGAGAGGCAATTGTTGAATACGTAATAAGCATAAATAACGGCGATATTCCTTTTGAAATATAGTATTCAACATCCAGTAATGACTTTAATGATTTGTAATAAGATAAATGTGCTGATTCATTTATTTTGCTAAACATATTTTGCTTTGCAGAATCTACAAGTCTTTGTTTAAACATAAATGCAAAATCATTTACGCTTCCAACTTCTTGGCTTACCCACACAAAACCAAATCCATACGTGTTTAACAATATTCTTATGTAAGATGCCCAAGTAATTCTGCTACAATTATCAAGCTTTTTCAAAAGAATATAAGATTGCTTGGAGTACCTATCGGTAGCCATACATAATAGTTTACACCAGTACCGGATACATTTAATTTGATAGTCAATACTAATACAATATCAACCGCATTCTGCTAATACTGCGTTACTGGACACATGCTTACCTACACCTAGTACAAATTTACAAAAATTAGAGTGGAATTTGTTAATAGCTTGTCTATCTTGGTGACCCCATACGTCTGCACCGTAAAGTAATATTGGCTTTATTTTACTGTCAAAGAGCTTGAAAAGAACACTTGCAGACATATTTGGATATTTATAAGATACCCGTTTGATAGCAAATAGAGCTTTAGTGGCTTTAGTAGTATGTGTCTCAGCACATTTAGTCCATGACTGTCGAGTGGAGAACATTATTCCGAGATAGTTATAATATGTTGAGCATTTTATCTGTGATCCGTGTAGATACCATTTTTCGTAATTTCGTAAGAAGCCTCCGTTCCGAAAGACTAGGATTTCCGTTTTGTTCATGTTGACTTCCACTCCCCATATCAGACAGTAGATGTGTAGAATATCAATTTTTCTTTGAAGTCCAATTACAGAATCGTCGAATATACATAGGTCATCAGCAAAAAGTAACAGGAACAGTTCCATAAATTCAGGGTCGACGAATATTCCTCTAAGATTGGCATTTTCCAACATGACTTGAAATTCTGAAATATATATTATAAAAAGGAAAGGGCTGAGAGCGCACCCTTGTCGCACACCGCTCAAACATTGAAAATAGTCGGGGATTGAGTTGGTGCCTGTTCTCACGGCTGACTGTATTTTAGAGTACATATTCCTTAGCACATTTGATATTCTGCCATGGATATCGTTTCTGATTAGTGTGTACCAAAGAAGCAGTCTATTTATTGAATCGAAGTCCACAAATATGCAATAAAAGCGACCGCCTCGTTTTGAGAGATATTTCTGAATCAAACTTTGAAGAGTGAATATATTGTCAGTTGTACTGTAGTTCTTCCTGAATCCTGCTTGGGCCTCGGGGATTTTATCATAAACATCTGCAAACGATTGTAAACGTTCATTTAGAATTGAGCAAAATATTCTCCCAAAAACATCCGTGAGGGATATGCCTCTATAATTATTCACATCGTTGATGTCACCTTTCTTGTGAAGAGGTACTATTATACCCTTGGCCCACTCAATCGGATAATTTCCGGTGACTAATATCTCTTTGAAGATGGTAGATAGATAATGAGCGAGTAAGTCATCACAACATTTCACTATCTCTGTCTTTATACCATCTGGACCTGCTGCTTTGCCGTCTTTTAAGTTCCTAATAGCTGCCTTGACCTCTTTTACGGATATATCCCTATTTAATGGTGTGACGCGTCTTTGACAGTGGTTTCGCTAATTTGTTGTACGATTCCGAGCATATCAGTAGCATGCGTTTACGAATGTCTCTCGCAGAAAGGTGAGCGCCAGTCACAAACACAAGCAAAGACAAGTCAGTTATACCATTCTGAGTATAGCATATTAGACATTTGATTGATTGTTGTTTTACGCCGCACTCAGCAATATTCCAGCTATGTGGCGGCGGTCTGTAAATAATTTGGACCAGACAACCCAGTGATCAACAGCATGAGCTGTGTACTACGCAATTAGGATACGATGATATGTGTCAACGAGCCTGACCTCCCGATGCCGTTAGTCGCCTCTTGTGACAAACATGGGTTACAGAAGAGCTATTCTAACCCGGCTCTTCACGGGTTTATAACACCCGATCCCGTTAGTCGCCTCTTTCGTCAAGCATGGGTTACTGAAGACCAATTCTAATCCGGATCTAACATAGACAAATGAAGATCCAGGTTAGAATTGGTACACATATCCCGAATTCCAAAAGAGACGAGATTGTTATAATGTTTTAAATAACAAAATTAAGACATAAATCAAGGCGAAGTGGTGTGTGTTCGATGCTCAGATGCTCGTCAGTTGTGTGTGTTCTGATGCTGAAATGCCGCGTTACCAAATGACGTAAACAAACGTCTTATTGATATTATCACAAAACACGTCTGGTTATGAATAACGGTCATTTGTGTGTTCGTTGCAACGACTAGCGTTGTTTTCCTAAAATGTTTTCACAGGGGAACCTCAATCTCTTTATTCACCAGTGTATCACAGTTTTACGCGTGAGCCGCGTTTCTTTTAGAACTGAGTATCAAACAAGCCATGACAACACAGTAATCCCATTACCAAGAGAAAATGATGTACACTGAATGACTAAAGTCAGTATGGGTCAGGTACTGTAAAATTATTGTCCTCCAGAGAGGATACATAAGTCCCAAACGCATCAGAGGAAATTTAAACTTAACAGATGTTTTGAACGTAGTTTTTTGTGATTTTAAGTTACGGCTAAATTGTCCTACAATCGCCAGCAGCTGAAAGGATGGCGAAAACCCAGCTAGGGTCCATGCAGGTAGCAAAGGCACTGTAAGTCCCCATGGTCCCTAGCATGGTGACCTACCTTATATTGTACTGCCCTGTATTATAATATATGTTTTAATGTTTACATTCTAGTTTTAAATTTCTATCTGTGATAATCTAGTTGTTTTACTGTCCTTCGTTGACAGATTTTACAAAATAACTTTATTTATTATTAAAGTATATATTGTTATAGTCACAATGTGACTGCAATATTGCCGATGTGACTCTAAATCTTAACTCACTCACTCACTCAAATAATTTCTGAACGATGGAATGAAAACGAAATGGACACATCAAAATCTATCCAACCCAGAGGAAATCTGCATAATCTGATCCATTATAGTATTTTTATATTGTAATGTCTTCCTTAGTTGAACTGTTTTAGATTTAATTACTTGTTTTAGATTTATATCTGTGATCATCTAGTTGTTTTACTGTCCTTTGTCGTCAGGTTTTTTCTCATTTATAACTTTGAAAGTCACGATATAGATGAAATATTGCCAATGTGGCTGTAAATTTTAACTCACTCACTCACTCAATATGGGTCCGTGAGTGAGCATGGATTTAAGCCGCTTTTAGCAATATTCCAACAGCCACACGGCAGGGGGCACGGCAGGAATGGGCTTCACACCGAGTCGTCGGCGAGACAAGCGAACGCTTCAACCACTAGGCTACTCTACCGCCCCAACGTCAATATAGCAGCGCGAAAGGACGACTACCATTATAACGGTAACGGTAAGACGTGATGGTACATGCAAATAGTATCATGTGTACATAATAGTGTAAAAGAACACATCCATTCTATCTCATACTATGGAAATAAACAATAGGTATACTATGGAAATAAACAATAGTATCATGTGTACATATACTGTAAAAGAACACATCCATTCTGTCTAATACTATGGAAATACACAATAGTATCATGTGTACATATACTGTAAAAGAACACATCCATTCTGTCTAATACTATGGAAATACACAATAGTATCATGTGTACATATAGTGTAAAAGAACACATCCATTCTGTCTAATACTATGGAAATACACAATAGTATCATGTGTACATATACTGTAAAAGAACACATCCATTCTGTCTAATACTATGGAAATACACAATAGTATCATGTGTACATATACTGTAAAAGAACACATCCATTCTATCTAATACTATGGAAATACACAATAGTACCATGTGTACATATAGTGTAAAAGAACACATCCATTCTATCTAATACATAGAGAATACTACAAGAGGTCTCATTACATACGAATTATACGAAACGAGTGTCTTTCTTATTATATCTGACAGAGCGAAGGGGATGTCAGAAACCATCGGAAGGTCACGAGTTTCGTATAATTCGTATGTAATGAGACCGAGTGTGGTATTTATTTATTACCGACGTTTTACATGCATTAAATTGACAAAATAGCGTAGTTTTGGTATTGGTGTGGTTTCAAACCGAAACCGGTTTCATAAAGAGGTTGCGGAAGAATTTTGTTCTGACGTACACTTTTGCATGACGTCACACTGTATTGACATCACTACGCCATTCTAGTCTGTCCCCTTGGAAACCGACGTCACGATGCATGTCAGTTGTCATCGCCTCTCGTACAGCCTCCTTCAGTAAACTACTCCGTAGCACCCCGTTTCTTGGTTTACAACTGCTTCACTCGGCTAACATCACTGGTGGAATCTTTGCGTTTATATTTTGCGACACATATAATGCCTCAGTTCAACTCACAATTAAACAGCGATACGGCAAAGTTCGCAATGTTTACATTCCGACAATGCAGCTAAGTTGTAGAATGAATGAATTTACGTGTTTGTTATGAATGAAAAAGTAGTTCCTTCACAACTTGACCTAACTGAGTGGTCATCAGTTATCCAATCAAATCGTTAGTATCTCAGGTCAAGTCGTTACGACATGGGTCAACGCGATACGACACTCGTCTGACGTACGAGATTAGTATGCAACTACCCATACGTTGACCACCTGGGTAATAAATAATAGTATCATGTGTACATAATAGTGTAAAAGAACACATCTATTCTATCTAATACATAGAGAATACTACACGAGGTCTCATTACATATACGAATTATACGAAACGAGTGTCCTTCCTATGGTATCTGACCGAGCGAAAGCGAGGTCAGAAACCATCGGAAGGTCACGAGTTTCGTATAATCCGTATGTAATGAGACCGAGTGTGGTATTTTATTTATTACCCAAGTCTTACATGCATTAAATCGACAAAATAGTGTATTTTTGTTATTGTTATGGTATCAAACCGAAACCGGTTTCATAAAGAGGTTGCGGAAGAATGCTGTTCTGTAGTACACTTTTTGCATGACGTCACACTGTAATGACGTCACTACGCCATTCTCGTCTGCCCCTTGGTAACCGACGTCACGATGCATGTCAGTTGTCATCGCCTCGTACAGCCTCCTACATCAAACTACTCCGTAGCACCCCATTTCTTCGTTTGCAGTCGCTTCACTCGGCTATCCTCACTGGTGGAAACTTTGCGTTTATGTTTTCGACGCATATAATGTCATCAGTTCAACTCAAAATTAAACAGCGATACGGCAACGTTTGCAATGTTAACATAACCACAATGCAGCTAAGTTGTAGAATGAATGAATTCACGTGTTTGTTATGAATGAAAAGGTAGTTCCGTCTCAACTTGACCTAAATGAGTGGTCATCGGTTATCCAATCAAATCGCTAGAATCTCAGGTCAAGTCGTTACGACACAGGTCAACGCGATACGACACTCTTGTAACGTACGAGATAACCCATACTTTGACCACGTGGGTAATACTATGGAAATACACAATAGTACCATGTGTACATATACTGTAAAAGACAACATCCATTCTATTTAATATATATATACTATTGAAATACACAATTTAACAACGAAAATCGCAAATCCAAATTAAATTACCAATATATTATTAGAAAAACAGACGTATTCAGCGTTGATTGAATAAATGTGTGTTGTGCTTTTGATATCAGTATGAGTGTGTCTCATTAGGATCTCACACTCCCACATGACAATTTAGTTCACAACTACACACACGAACTCGAGTACGGTTGGTCTGTCTCACCAGAACCACATTATTTTCCCTACTGCTTAGCCCTCTTTGCAGCGCTAGAGCCATAAATGAGGCAAGTGTAGATTTCCCCAGGTTCAGGATCTCCCCAATCACTGGAATACTATTCCAATTAAATGTTTTGGGTTGTTTTTGTTACTATCAAAATTATATATATTCAGGGACTAACAGTTGGTTTTGACGTACAGTGTGCTAGGTACAATGTAATCACCAATCTTGACACATATGGGAGCGGTCACCACCATCCTTAATAAATTCAAAGCATTTATGAGCACCAAAGCACATGTCATTTAATACTTTTGAAAAAAGACTTTAATGTCCGACTCCGCCTTCCCGACGTAAGACGATGTTCCGTTTACGAATCATGTCACGCAAGCAACGCGATCTTGTTCCGCCATGGGCTATTCTCACATCTGGGCACCTACACGATTGACCGGGGGCGTGCTCGCATTCTAAGTGATTGGGAGCGGCGAGGACCCGGAACAGGGCTCCAGGCCAACAGTTCCCCACGGTCAAAATCGAGAACTATAGGTTGATTGATGGTCAAGTGATAGATGATTTAAGAATAATTAAAGAGATGACCTCATCAAAGATCTGAAACAAACTGAGACGTGACCTTAAACAATATTTCAAACATGGTACTTTTATGTAACGTTAGGTATTAAACTATCGTCTCGCTTTTTAACTGCAGCAGGGTCTGGAGTCATCCCATTGATGACATCCTTACCATGTCAGCTTGATGACGGGGTGAGCCTGTGGACAAGACGTCCGTTGTTGTCCGTTTTAGGTAATTGGATGATGACTGCACTTACATGATGTTTCTGCAGATGTTTGCAATGTACCTCCGATGCTTTGAACATAATACCATGGTTTGTTTTGAATGTTTGCATCCGAGTTATATTTTGGTTATAACATTTATCCGCTTCCTGTGACATGTTATTGAACTGAGTCGAGTTGAACCAACTAAGCATTGTAACAAGAAGCTAAAACATCCTGCGTTATGATGGCGCCTGAGATTGATATGGAAAAAATGAAATAACTCTGGTCAAAAATTGTTACCACCGATGATACCAGCGAGCTAAAATGCCGACATAATCAGACCGAATCAGGCATCCACGACGATATGGCTCTTGAAAACCGGAAGGAGGTGCATCTTAGACTACACCGTTTCTTCGTTCAACTGACAAATCTGGAATGTTTGAAAATATTCGCTGCAACCACAATACCAATGAACATATCAATGCGAATCTGGAATGATTGTAAATATTCGCTGCATACACAGTACCCAGCTATATGGTGGCAGTCTGTAAACAATCGAATCTGGACCATACGATCCAGTGTTCAACAGCATGAGCATCGATCTACGCAACTGGGACACAATGACATGTGTAAACCAAGTCAGCGAGTCTGACCACCCGATCCCGTTCGTCACCTCTTGCGTCAAACATGGGCTACTGAAGATCAATTCTAACCCGGGCCTTCACGGGTGTCAAAAGGGACACGCACAGTACAATAGTGTGTTTCACTCACAAACTCACTCACACTCACCCTTATGGCACACACAGCTGTGGATAGGGAAAACACAACGATTTTCGTTAAACATACAATCACCTCTCGTCTACGTTCCTTATCATATATAATCAAACTGTTATATTTAGATCAACTCAGATAAAAACCCTTTACATATCACACCAGTACACAACCTCAATGTGAAATTCCAACACAAGCAATGCGCAATAAATCACATGTTGTAATTATAGATGTTTTAACAGTTCAATAATATAATCCTAAGAAATAACAATACAGGTAGTATATGATAGTACGATGCAATGGGATACATAGATATAATCAGTTGATTAATATTCCTATCAGATAGACAAGTTCAACGATAGGTAAATAAATGAGAAAACATGCAAGTGGACAGTACAAAGCAAATTATGATAAATATGTAATGTACAAGTATCAGCCCACTTCCGGTGAAATGCATAATATTTGATTGATGTCTGAGAAATGTTTTTTTGACATCCCTTGAAGCTACATAAAAATCATGCGACGTTCGTGACGTCTCTTACAACGGCGGCAAGTCATCTCAGAAGAAGGTAAGCTGTTACCGGTCTGTGAACATAGCCGTTTGACTGGAATTAATTTTTGATGTTTTCAAATGTCGGTTTTACTTCGCACGGTTTGAGACACTGATGCATATATTCTAATCAAAAGAAGTTAAAGGTCAACTCGACTGAATTCATATTTCTATGGTTAATCTGGCACAGCAGTTCGATTCTTTTATATTACTGCAATTAGTCGGCATATTAACTAATATTGTAATATGAGTGAGTGAGTTTGGTTTTTCGCCGCTTTTAGCAAGATTCCATCAATGTCACGGCGGGGGACACCAGAAATGTGCTTCACACATTGTACCTATGTTGGGAATCGAACCCGGGCCTTCGGCGTGAAGAGCAAACGCTTTAACTACTAGGCTCTCCCACCTCCCCATGTAAATATGAAAGAATCCGATGGATCTTACTCGCTTTTAAGTAGAATATTTTATCGTTTGTAAATTTGAGAAGTATTATTTTATACTTAGCTCATGTTTTTTCGACGGGTGCTACCCATGGGACAGGATAAAAAAAACAGGTGTTGTCCCTGATCGACAGCCATTAATGAACACATGGGGTGTGTGTGTGTGTGTGTGTGTGTGTGTGTGTGTGTGTTGGGTTGGGGTAAGCCTAGTGTTTCAAAAGTCCGCTCGTCACGCCGAAGACCCGGGTTTGACCCCACATGGGTTCAAAGTGTGAAGCCTATTTCTGGTGTACCCCGCCGTGATATTGCTGGAATAGTGCTGAAAGCGGCGTAAAACCATACTCACTCACTCATATTACAATAGTAACACATGCTTATGACATCATGATAGTTGGTGTCATGCAGTGATCGCTGCTGTTGTCGAGGGATGTGTTTGCCAGGGGTTTTGCTGTCGTGTCACATTTATCGCATATTCTTCATCGATTCAAGAAAATGACTTTGGCAATTCGTTCTCTGATTCTTATAGGTGAAAAATGTCAGGGCTTAAACTGGCATTGGTTGTCTCTTTGGGGCTTTTGGTCACTTTGCAACAGACATCGGGACAATTCCAAAGACCTTTCCAACCTGGTTCAAGCGGAGGATCCGGTCCTACAGGTTGGGGAGCCAATAATGCACAAGGAGGATGGGGAGGTAACTCTGGACAACCTGGATCTGGCAATTGGGCAGACAACTCTCGACAATCTGGCCCGGTTTGGGGACGCCAAGGACCAGCTTCATTATCAGCACGAGCACTTGGCGCGGCCCGAGCTTCTGGAATAGCTGGGTTGGGGATCCGCGTCCCTAGCTTACCACCACGTTTCAACCCAGGTTTCACCCCAGGTTTTAGCCCAGGTTTTACACCTGGTTTCACCCCAGGATTGACCCCTGGTTTGACGCCTGGTTTGACGCCTGGTTTGACCCCTGGCTTGAACCGTGGTATCGGTGGAATCGGTGGAATCGGTGGAATCGGTGGAAATACTCAGTCAGGTACGTTCTTTGTGAAAAGGTCAGTGTATATTTCAAAAGGAACCATCGATATTATGTGACTGATCCAGTTTGTAAATAACTGAAAATGCATATGTTTAATATCTAGTGACACTGACAATAAATGTCAAATAGTATTTAAAATACCGTACGTGTAAGCCTCACATGTGGGTACAGACAGGCAGGTTGTCTGTGGCGCCACAGTTCGCTACAAAGAAACATCACTTGGAACTGAAAGGATCTGCGCATCCTAATTAGTATGATCCATATGTTCACCCTATCGGTTTCTCCAGAGCATCAAACATGAGTGGCTGCGGGCTCTCACCCTATCTTATACTGTCACAACATGATAGAACTTAAATAACGTTGAAAGAGTCAGATTGTTAAGACCTTTGGTAGTTGTCCAGAGTGGAGAGTACCAGAAAAGGACGTCACAGAATGTTTTCATGTACGAGCCTTCGGTGTGGTTATCGAACGCTTTAACCTCTTGCCTAAACCAAAGCCTCCAAACACTTGTCGAAATCATCAATTGTAACTTTTTAAAACTTAAATAACGTTGAATGTGCACTTACTTAATAAACTCTAAAAGAGTCAGATTGTTAAGGCCTTTGGTAGTTGTCCAGAGTGGAGAGTATCTGAAATGGACTTCACAGAATATTTTCATGTACGAGCCTTCGGTGTGATTAGCGAAGGCTTTAACCTCTTGTCTAATCCAGCGCCTCTAAACACTTGTCGAAGTCATCAATTTTAACTTTCTAAATTATATTTTGTTTCAGCATCAACTGCTGTGTGTACATCAGTCGACACTGCAGGAACGGGCGTCACATTCACTGCTACTCTTCGAAGGTCACTCACTAATGTTTTCGTAAGTTTTGAATGATACTTGACTTTTTACATTTCCCGTATTGGCATTGCCGTTAACATATTACTGATACTTAAGTTATAGCATTGCCCGTATGGCCATTGCTGTAAATATATCACAGATACTTAATTATAACATTGCCCGTATGGACATTGCCGTGAACATATTACTGATGCTTAAATTATTGCATTGCCCGTATGGACATTGCTGTAAATATATCACAGATACTTAAATTATAGCATTGTCCGTATGGACATTGCTGTAAATATATCACAGATACTTAAATTATAACATTGCCCGTATGGACATTGCCGTGAACATATTACTGATGCTTAAATTATTGCATTGCCCGTATGGACATTGCTGTAAATATATCACATATACTTAAATTATAGCACTGCCCGTATTGTCATTGCTGTAAATATATCACAGATACTTAAATTATAGCATTGCCCGTATGGACATTGCTGTAAATATATCACAGATACCTAAATTATAGCACTGCCCGTATGGACATTGCTGTAAATATATCACAGATACTTAAATTATAGCACTGCCCGTATGGACGTTGCTGTAAATATATCACAGATACTTAAATTAGAACATTGTCCGTATGGGCATTGCGGTGAATATATTACAGATACTTAAATTATAGCATTGCCCGTATGGGCATTGCGGTGAATATTTTACTGATACTTAAATTAGAACATTGTCCGTATGGGCATTGCGGTGAATATATTACTGATACTTAAATTATAACATTGCCCATATGGACATTGCCGTGAACCTATTACTGATACTTAAATTATAACATTGCCCTCATTGACAAACTGCCGTGATCATATTATTCATACTTTAGTTATTACATTGCCCGTATGGACATTGCCGTGAACATATTACTGATACTTAAATTATATCATTGCCCGTATGGACATTGCCTGTAATTATATTATGGAAGAGAGTTTCATGGATGTCAGCTTCTTTATTATGAGGAACACAACGTTTCGGAATATATCCTTACTCCATCATCGGATGAATGAATGCTTTGAGACACAAAACATATATATGTACATGTAAGAATAATAGACAAAAAAAGATGGAGTCTAAACAAGGGAAGCCAACAGTTAACTGGCGTTCATGGGTGATTGTTAAAGGACAAATGGAAACCAACACTTAACAGTTAATTAGCGCTGATGTGCATCACTTCTAAATGGCATTTAAAGACTCGTTATGACATTGCCGTGATCATATTACTGATACTTCACGTATTACATTGCCAGAATTGACATTGGTGATAGACACCCGTTGATGACCTTGTGATGTTTTTTCAAGAGACGGAAAATATCCTATTTCAGTGTTTCAAAACGTACATATTCATTGATTCATAGACGATACTAAAGACACCCAACAGGTCCGGCAAACATTTGTTTGGGGAGAAACGATCATCTTGTTACACTGTGCGCAAGAATTTCTTCTTGGTATATACCCTGGTACTCTCTTGTTTAAAAATATATTCCAAAGATCTATCCCAGCCCATAACTTGACTACCGTCTTCATCAATTCTCAAATGTATAGATAGTTCATCTCTCATTGTACAGCGGAAATTTTCATAGAGTCCCCTGTCAGAGTTAATGAGTCATGATGAGGGCTATAATTACTTGTGTTCGTAAAGATCTTCACAATCCACTCTTGTCGTATCGTATTCAAATTGCGTATATCAATGGTGTCAGTCATTCGTTTATCTGGTCCAGACTCGATAGTTACAGACAGTCGTTAGATGACTGGAATAATGCTGTGTGTGGCACTAAAGAACACAAACATTCATTTGCTTGATTGGTTGGTTGGCTGGTGGATTTATTTTTATGCTGCCCTCAACACTATTCCATCTCTATGGCGGCGGTCTGTAAATAATCGAGTCTGGACCAGACAATCCAGCGATCAACACCATGAGCATCGATTTATGCAACTAGGGATACAATGACATGTGCCAACCATGTCCGTGAGGCTGACCGCCCGATCCCGTTAGTCGCCTGCTACGACAAGCATGGGTTACTGAAAACAAGATCTTCACAGGTAAGAATGCATATAAACAATTTTTATGATTTCTAAACTGCCGTTTGCTTTTTAGCTTGGAGTCCAAACCGAACTGGTTGTGGATGTCACGACTGGCGCTGGTGCTTCTGGAACGGCCAACATCGTTCTGACAGCACTCGGGGGAGGATCTAACACGGGTGGATGCACTGCTGCTAATCTTGGGGATATTCTCATAAGGTACCGATGTCTATAAAGACGAATCGTTGTCGCATTATAATTGGAATACCTGTATGGATTCCCAGTTACAGCTTAGCCTGACACAGTTATAGCATTGCTTATGTGCAATAATGACGAAACATTGAAGGCTGACATGGGAGATATTTGAGTGCGAAAGCACAAGCAAACTGTGGTGAATGACATGACTCAAACTGTACCATTTGTTTTGTGCCACGTTATTTTCAAAACATGTCATTCACTGTTTCAGTATCTATGTTATAAATTATTATATATCACGAAGAGTACAGCGTTAAAGGTTTATGGATAACTATACAGCGGATAGCTTTGTTGGTGCCAAATTCGACTCCAGGGCCTAGATTTTCTAAGCTCTCTTAGCGCTAAGATAGTCGTAAGTGCCAACATTAACATTAACTTACGACCATCTTAGCGCTAAGAGAGCTTCGAAAATCTAGGCCCAGATTACCGTCCTTGTAATAGGTGTATCACATTCTAATGTTCAAGGTGCGGTGGGGTAACCTAGTGGTTAAAGCGTTGGCTCGTCATTCCGAAAACCCGGGTTCGAATCCCAACATGGGTACAATGTGTGAAGCCCATTTCTGGTGTCCCCCGTCGTGATGTTGCTGGAATAATGCTAAAAGCGGCGTAAAACCAAACTCAGTCAGTCAGTCTTATGTTCAACTTTTCATGATGTAGTCATACAGCATGATCTTAAACTCCTGTATCAAATATGTTTTGCCATCAATGCCATGTAGTATATAGTGTAAAAATTGTTTGACTTCACACGCATTATGACATATTTACCACCTCTCATCCTCGATAAGGGGCGGTGATGTAGCCTATAGTCCGTCAACCTAACTTTTGGAACACGGATTTTTGCAAGTTACGTTTAAACAACAAAAGGTATCCAACTTTTATTCGCTCAGTTAATAATGATATCTGACGACCTAATTGGGTCTTGAATTGCTAAAATTTTACCTCAACTATTAAAGATTTTACATAGGAAATTGTATTACTTAATAATTATCAAACATCATAATATTACAAAGGCGAGAAGGTGAAGAATTGCCATATTATGAGAACATATCAATGTTCAGATTCGGATTCAGATGTGCCAGAAGCCCCGACTTCTATGTCAGAGTCTGATTCTGAGTCCAAATCTTTGATCAATGGTGTGGCCGTTTCTGTTTGCAAACCATCATTTTGCCAATATTGTTTTTCTACTTGCAAAACGTGATCTACACAAGTTTTCCACAAATCTGCTGGGACGTTAGAAATTTCGTCAATCACAATACGTTATACGTCGGCTAACTTTAACGATTTGTTCTTCTGTGTAACTTGTTTTCTAAGGTGGCCCCATACAAGTTCTATCGGATTTAAGTCACAGTGTTAGGGTGGGAGACGTACAACTTCATGACCATGTTGTTTAAGGAGATTGTCAATTTGATAAATAGGTGATTGCTTTTTGGTAAGAATAATCTTACAACTCTACTTTCGTTGATTTTGATGGATGTTCGATGCCATGTTTGTCAAACCAAGCAATCATATCTCCCTTTCTCGAAGCCGAGGTTGGACACTTATCCTGGGGGTCAACCCAGCTGTGATAAGGTGCATTGTCCATTCCGATCACAGAATGGTCAACCAGTGATGGTGTAAAAAAGATTTGGTTCCCCCATAGTAAAAGTTCCGTTGGAACTTTTTATTCCAATATTTGTTCCTGTAATAGTGCATGCGGAACAATTATTTCGTTCCGCATACACAGAATTATTCCGGGTAAATAGGAACTTTCACACACATCCTAAAGTGTCTTAAAGAGGGTATTGTTTGTTGGGGTGGGCTTACAAATTGCGGCGTGTTTTTTAGTGGGGAGCGAAAGGAAGAAAGGATTCTCCCCTATGGTATTTGTTCCATATGGTTCCATATGGAACAAATCCTGTGGCTATCAAGAAGCAATTATCATGTGTGAAAGTTCCTTAATAAAAGACTCAATACAGTATTGTCATCAGTGGCATCATTTGTCTTTATTGTGGGCATTGGTTTCATCTTTTGTTATGGCTATACAAAATAGCGCTAAATAATGTCTATTTTAAAAAATCCAAATAAACACCATCACAATATTTGATAACATGCATTCACTTAGTGGCAGTTAGGCCCGACCTAATCACAAGCTAAACCTTAAATTTGTTTAACATCATAAATCGGTGGTTGTGTAATAGGACAACCTAAACTGGCATTAGATATGGTTCACCTTTCTTTAAAAATCTGAGCATCTATTTCAAATTATTATTTCAATGATGTATGTAAAATATCTACATGTCTGTTGATAGGGTCCTGTTCGAAATCCGGACAATACTGAAGAATTGTTCAAATATCGTTGTATTTTAATTTGATCTACAGTTTTGGTAAACCTACAGTGATCAATATGGCACATTCTGATAGTTGCTAATTTCTGGTCACTAATTATCACAAGCTTCCCTCTTTTTTGTTTTCTGTGGCATATTCCTTGCATTTGTTTTCACAAATATACTCTACTGGAGCAGTGTATTCCTCTGCCTCCATAATCGGTCTGTTGCACCTTCCTGCAGTGTGTGGCAAATGGCCACTTGTTAATTTGATTTTCACCTAGATCTAACATGATTCACGTGTATTTCGGGCTACAGAAATCATGGATGTTGACAAGTTGGACGAGTCCATTTTGCATTCAATAATGACTGGAATAGGTTAGGCCTACATTATTTGTTCCTGTTCGATGGAATATTTGCCGTATGTGCGGAATTTTTATTCGTGTCATCCATTCTCTATTTCACGGCATTTATTCCGAACCGGAACATTTACTACTCGGAACTAAATCATGTTTACACTGGAATCAGTTGTTCAGTCACATATTCAGTGAACACTGCAGAGTTCATTTCACTGTGGTAATCCCTTCCATCCTTGGATTTGGCCCTGAAAACAACATCACATCCAGGAAGAAAATCCCAAGCGAGAGCCAGCATGAAGGATTATGAGTCTGCTTTTCCAAGAGGTATTCTTATGTTGCTCTCTGCATCTGGATGCTGCCATTGGTAAGAAGAAGTATGGTTAGCATTTACCACCGTTTCATCAAGCCACACGATTTCCTTCTTCCCTCATCTGATGTATCTTCCTCAGATACCGAGCTCTAATTGCTATGATATCGCCCCTTTCACAGAATGCCAACTTTGGGTTGCTCGGTCTTTTGAAGCGGTATCCATATTTAATCAATAACTTCCATGTTGTGTACTTGGAGACGTGAATATCTTGGTCATCTTGAAGTATCTTCTTCAACTTTCTGGAAGATATAGCCGCTCGTCACGCCGAAGGCCCGGGTTCGATTCCCCACATGGGCACAATGTGTTAAGCCCATTTCTGGTGTCCCCCCGCCGTGATATTGCTTGAATATTGCTAAAAGCGGCGTAAAACTAAACTCAGTCAGTCAGTCAGTGGAAGATATAGCCTCATTCAACTTGTGTAAACGCCGAATTACATCCTCACTACTCGTCTATCAAAATCATCCAGTTTCCCTTTCTTAGGCTGTTTTGAGATGCTCCCCGACCCACTCGGGGTTTCAGTGTCAGACTCTGCATCATTGTCAAGGGATAGAATGCGATGAACCGTTGTTCTTGAAACTTGGTAGCATGAAGTGTACGTTTCGTGAAGCAATTCAGAGAAATAAATGGTTTTTTGAAAAACGCATGCACTCTCTTAACTATATCCTGTGCATCTTGAGAGAACATCTTGCCGACACCCGAAAAATAGCTGTGACGTCACAAACACTCCCCTTGAAATGCTCGTGCATGCATGTACATAACATGTTGACACACATTGCGACATTGTTGATAGCTATTCCAGTACCTGCCAGTTCTCCCTTGTGAAAATGTTGTTGTTGTCAGAAACTTTATGTGATAGTTATATTTATATGAAAGTAAAATCTTTAATAGTTGAGGTAAAGTTTAGCAATTCAACACCCGATTAGGTCTACAGATATCATTATTAACTGATTGAATAAAAGTTGGATACCTTTTGTTGTTTAAATGCAACTTGTAAAACACCGTGTTCCAAAAGTTAGGTTGACGGACTATAGTGGTTTAGGCGTTTAACTCGTCACGCCGAAAACCCGGGTTCGATTCCCAACATGGGTACAATGTGTGAAGCTCATTTCTGGTGTTCCCCGCCGTGATATTGCTGGAATATTGCTAAAAGCGGCGTAAAACTCACTCACTCTCTCACTCATCCTCGATAATCTCCAGGATATACGTTCCACTAGTACTAGTGGAGATTTATCGGACGTATACCCTGGAGATTATCGAGGATGACCACCTCTATGGTACAATGTAAACATTACCATTTATTTACCTTACACAGTAGGAACCCGTTCAGCGTTGGAAACAACAATGGTGTTTTGGAAACATTCACCATTCAACCCAGCCAAACTGTGCCGACGAAAACATTCCGAAATCTCCCCATCAGTTCCTTACAAGAGGGTTTTGGAATCTCCGTTGCCGTAAGTTTGCTACCGACATTGCTTGATTCCTTTTCGTGTCAATCGGGATAAAAATGGTACGCGTCCATTCAGGTATCTATCCATAGAGTTCCGTCCCTTAGTCACGGCTGGTTATAGGGATTTGTTTGTCATCCGTGATATAATTGAAATGCTTTTTAAAATGACGTTAGGCCCACTCACTGACCTATCCACTCCTTCGCCATTCAATTCAAAAATGAAAAAAATCTCGTCCATCCTAAATATTGTCTTTACACTCACTCACTCACTTACTGATGTTAAACCCTATTCCCTGACAACATGACTATTCATTGTTGTTCAGGGGTGATGGGGTAGCCTACTGGTTTCAGTGTTTCGTCATGCCGAAAACCCCGGTTGGATTCCCCACATGGGTACATGTGAGGTTTGCTTCTGCAGATAGATGTACTTTAATGATTGGTAGTTTAGATTAGTAACTTAGATTGTTAGTGGCTGTACCCTCAAAGGGAGTTGAAGTATTGTAAAATTATTGTCCTCTTGAGAGGGTACGTAAGTAAATTTCAACTTACCAAATTCTTTAAACGTAGTATTTTGTGATTTTAAATTATGGCTAAGTTCGACTACAATCGCCAGCGGCTGAAGGATGATATAAATCCAGCTAGGATCCATACAGGTTGCAAAAGTAATGTAACTCCCAAAGGTCCCTGGTATGGTGATCTCCGTTCAGTTGATGGCGATCAATAGCCCATTTTTACATTGTATTGTCAAAAAATAACTCTCTACCTTTAAAGATATATGCTAGCTAGTTTTGACTTATTTTGTGATAATCTAGTAATTTTACTGTCCTTCGTTGACAGGGTTTTATATATTATATGTATGTATTACGAATTTAGAACTAGTTTTAGTCACGATATGGCTGAAATATTGCCGATGTGACTTTAAATCTTAACTCACTCACATGTCGGGTTTGGCTTCTGTCACCGTTGTTGAAAGGACAAGACTCTCTGCATGCCTCGATCGGTAATTTGCTTGTTGATCCTTTTCAGCTGTGTACCGGTGTGGAACCAGACTCCTCCTCCACAAATTCTATCTGGTTAGGACTGGGTTCCTTGATGTCACAAAGCTATCGCTGCACAGGGACAGCCCAGGCCTGTTGCACCTTTGGCCGATTCAACGGTGACGCACAATAAAAGAAGACGTTAAGACAATGGATATGTGATCCCTTGCTAACATCAAATGTCACTTCGTGTAACGTCATTTCCATACAGTTCTATTCACAATTTCCAAGTTTTGTTATTTGTGTTTTGTTCGAGCCATAATTTCAAGAACTATGATCTTGAAAAATAAGAGTTTAAGTGAATCATGTTTACTAGAAGTTACCTAGGGTACCTCTTTTCCACTGAGCATATCATAAAAAGTATACATCCTTTTAGTTACGTAAATACTTTTCACAATTAGCAAATTTATAATTGTATACTTCATCCACGCATGCCTTTCAAGGTTTTGGAAACATACATGTAAATAATGTGCAAAGAAAGTCTGCTTTTCTTGACGATGTATCAAGAGTGTCAACCTCATGACTATTCAATGCAGGATTCATTGTGGGGTTTTCCATTATGTGTGCCAAAAAAGAACGATTAAATATGAGTGAGTGAGTTGAGTTTTACGCCACACGCAGCAATATTCCAGCTATATGGCGGCGGTCTGTAAATAATCGAGTCTGGACCAGACAATCCAGTGATAAACAGCATGAGCATCGATCTACGCAAATGGAAACCGATGACATGTGTCAACCAAGCCAGCGAGCCTGACCAATTGATCCCGTTAGTCGCCTCTAACGCCTCATGGGTTACTGAAGGCACATTCTAACCCGGACCTTCACGGGTATATTAAATATGAAAGAACGTAATTTATGATAGCGATTGTATCTTTTTTGTTTCATATCCTATGATATTTCATATTTGTATATTTTAAGTGTCAATCTGCCAATAATTTAACGCGAGACCCTATCACTTGTCAGCCTTTATCAAAGTTTTAAAATGAACATATGTTCTTAAAATCTAGTCGAAATTATTTACTTAACGCTATGTCACCGGTACAAATGCAATGTTAAGATCTTTATTATTTTCTGACCATCACATATGGTGAGAATACCTTTCATGAAGGACAAGGCACGATTTAGTTTGTTCATCATGAGAGGTGAGAAGTGACATGAACTAAAACAAACAAGAGATCACAGAGACGCTAACCAAAATAAACAAGAGACAAGAGAGACGTGAACAAAAATAAACAAGATATCACACAGACGTTAACTAAAATTAGTAGTAGAGCAGAGAGAGGTGAATTAAAATAAACAGGAGACCACAGATACGTGAAGTAAAATAAACGAGAGATCACAGAGACGTTAACATAAACAGGAGACCAGAGACGTTAACAAAAATACACAGGAGACAAGAGAGACGTGAACAAAAATAAACAAGAGATCACAGAGACGTTCACTAAAATTAACAGGAGACCAGAGAGAGGTGAACTAAAATAAACAGGAGACCACAGATACGTGAAGTAAAATAAACAGGAGACCACAGATACGTGAACTAAAATAAACAGGAGACCACAGATACGTGAAGTAAAATAAACAGGAGACCACAGATACGCGTTCACTAAAATAAACAGGAGACCAGGGAGACCACAGATACGTGAACTAAAATAAACAGGAGACCACAGATATGTGAAGTAAAATAAACAGGAGACCACAGATACGTGAACTAAAATAAACAGAACTAATAAAGTAAACAGGAGACCACAGATACGTGAACTAAAATTAACAGGAGACACAGATACGTGAAGAAAATAAACAAGACACCAGATACGTGAAGTAAAATAAACAGGAGATCACAGATACGTGAACTAAAATAAACAGGAGACCACAGATATGTGAAGTAAAATAAACAGGAGACCACATATACGTGAACTAAAATAAACAGGAGACCACAGATACGTGAAGTAAAATAAACAGGAGATCACAGATACGCGAAGTAAAATAAACAGGAGACCACAGATATGTGAAGTAAAATAAACAGGAGACCACAGATACGTGAAGTAAAATAAACAAGACACCAGAGAGAATGGAACTAAAATAAATAGGAGACCTGAGGGACGGGAACTAAATAAACATGAGATCACGGAGACAAGAGCTAAAATAAACAAGAAGCCACAGAAACCGACGTATCTGTTTCGACAAGAGGGACAGCTTCAAAATTCTTTCTCTATGTCGAACGTTATTCCAGCAGCTCCGGCATTTTAAGTTTACATTTCACAAGTTTTGAAGTACATTCGAGCATGCTCTTTCTGTCAAGATTTCGCGGAACGTTACAATACGAATTCACAACGCTGTTTAGAAAGGGATTACACTTTCTCAGCAGAAGCTTTCTCTTATGGACGCTGCGCCGGCTGTGTGGGTCAGAGCTTTGGCTTTGTGTGCTGGCGATAATACTCTGAGAGTGCCTGTTCGAATCTCGAAGGTTACTCAACCAAATACTAGAATCTGTACTGTACTGAAAGAGTGTAATCACAAATTTAGCGTGAGTGTTTGGCCAAGGTTACAGCATTAAAGGCCCCAGCAAAGGTTTCAAAGGCTTTATAATTGACTCGTGGAGGACATTTCTAAATTTGACGCATCAGTGACATAGCTGATGGCCCATGGAATTAAATACAGTGGAAGCTGTGTAAACCGGCACTAATCCGGACTGAAAATATTCGGTTTACACAGCGTACCGGATTGTAGAGCTGACACCGTTACCTACGACTAGAACTGAACCAGTTTTATCACTCTCAAATACATTGTTGTATATCTCATATTGAACTAAGATTAAATTATCTTTGTCGGCATACATGTAGTTTCAACGCAGGATTAATTGGTGACGGACGGGACTGATATTATATGCTGGTGTTGACAACTTGCCGAATTGGACAGCTGCCGGTTTTGACAGCTTACACTGTAGCTTGACTTGTTACATGTTCTCCGGTGGTCATTTGCCCTGCATGTAGTTGTATTGAGTCTTACATGTCCATCTCTCCAGCATGTTCTTGACCTTAGAAATGTATACTCATGCTGTTTCTGCGTTTGCTTTAATCCAATACGCGGTATGATTAAATATTCCTTACATATAAGATAAACGACTCGTGAAGATCAAGGTTACAATTGATCTTCAGTAACCCATGCTTGTCGTAAGATGCGACAAACGGGATCGGATGGCCAGGCTCGCTGACCTGGTTGACACTTGTCCTCGGTTCCCAATGCGCGTAACCGCCTCCGTGGTGTAGTGGTTAGAGCGTCCGCCCGGAGAGCAGAAGGTCGCGGGTTCGATCCCCAACCGCGTCATACCAAAAGACGTTAAAATATGGTACTTGTTGGTCACTGCCTGGCGCTCGGCATTAATGGGTAAAACAAGGACTGGTCGGCTCGGAGTCAGTATAATGTGTCTGAGTGGGGTATTCATGCTTCACTGCGGCATGGTATTTCAGTGAGCTAGCACTATAAAACCAGCTTCAGTCTAGGCTAGTACAAGCAGCCGCACATACACCATACACACGCATGCACATTGTCATATGAGCGAAATATTCTCAAGCACGACGTTAAACCCAATTTCACCTCACCTCACCTCACCTCACCCAATGTGCGTAGATCGATGCTCATGCTGTTGATCCCAGGATTGTCTGGTCCAGACTCGATTATTTACAGACCTCCGCTATATAGCTGGCATATTGCTGAATGCGGCGTAAAACTCACTCACTCCAATTCATATCAAGCTTCTTTGCATTCCTATTTAGGGGCGGTGGGGTAGCCTAATGGTTAAAGCGTTCGCTCGTTCCGTATTCTGAAATTACGATAAAAGGGTGATATCAAATATTTGCAAGCGAAAACATCATGTGTTTACCACTAGTGAGAACAATTAGTTTAAAACAACTGTGCCCAAGAATACGGTGA